AGGTGATCACCCGATAATGGGTTTCTTTAGTTGTTTTAAAGTTCCTTCATCGTCTTCCCGCGTATCTGATTTGAAAGCAGATAACTCCAAAGCTTCATCCTCGAAGAAATTTCCAAGCAAGAATAAAGAGAAATTACAGCCTAAAGCACCGATTGTCATGTCATATTTCCCAATAAACTCCACATTGTCACGATTGTAGCATCTATCGGGCAACATAAAATATCGGGTGTCTTTTAGTTTGATACTAATTACTAAATATGTCCATCAAAAGTGTGGTTGTTATGTTTTCAGTTTGATACTAAATGTTGCCCATTTTCCTTCTTTTGTCCTTCAGAGTTATTTGAAAATGGAAATAATACAATTCCTCAATAGTTTTCACATAATCCAAATGTTGACAAACAGTTGCTATTATCATTTTTCCAGTCTCTGCCTTGTCTCGAGGGTGAGGATTTGAGTTCACGAACACATATTTTACGTAACAAGACAACTTGGCAGTAGCATAATGCATTATATATAAAAGAATAAATGAAATGATATATACATATTATAACCTCAGTGGAGGTATACATACTCTACTTATCCCCCCAGCTAACAATATTTAATTATTCCAAGATTAAATACAAAGTAATTATCTATTTATGTATATGTTTGTGTTGAGATTAGATGGAAGAAGTTGTGTTAGTGGTGTTATTATTACACATGCATTCTGGTACAGGATACTTTGTTACATCCCTCCCAGCTTTGCTTGTCCTGAGCTCAGGCTGCCCAAACGAGTCACGGTGCAAACCCATTATTATCTTGTTGAACCTTGATTCAGCTAAATTCGAGTCCATGAAATGCCATAGCATTTGTCTTTTGTTCGGTATAATCGTCTTCTTGTGCCCTGCAAATGCCCTGTCACCCTGTTTTCAATGACAAAATGAATAACGACCCATCTCTTCCAAATTAACAAAATACAGAAAATTTATGGCAAAATTGCATATTAATACACCACCTTTCCGTGTTTTTGCAATTTAATCACCACCTTTGAAATTTTTCATATTAATGCACCACCTTTACCATTTTTGCAAATCGATACATGAATGACGGTTCCGTTAACAAAAATAAGACGTCATTGACGTGGTTTAATGCCATGTAATATTTTCGTTACATTTTTGTTAACAGAACCGTTATTCATGTATCGGTTTGCAAAAATGGTAAATGTAGTGTATTAATTTGCAAAATTTCAAATGTGGTGATTAAATTGCAAAATCATGAAAGGTGGTGTATTAATATGCAATTTTGCCATTAATATACCATATAATGCAGATAGATGAGGTGTACCTGGATGGCATGGCCCATATTCCCACCATGAGAAGCCATGAAAACATCACTTTCCTCACAGACTATGTAATCAATGGCAGCCATAACAGAAGCTTTGTTCGCAAAAGGCTCCAGCTCTTCTGCCAATGAAAGATCCTTCTTATTGTAGAAATAAGGAAACTCGCTCGTCAATGGCAACAAACTTTCTTTCCCTCCTAACGGAATCCCGCCAGCCCAATATATCCTTGCACTTTTAGGAGCTCCCAAAGCTTTGAGCAACCTATTACAACAACAGCATCATATTTCATAATAAGTGTCATTTGGGTTTATCAAATGTTTTTCAACCAACGTTTGGCTATGCATGGTTATTTTAATTTTTAATTGAACTTTCTCTCATTTTTTAAAAAAAAGCTCACACCTTGCAACTTCTAAAGCGTTCAAGGGACATAAGCCAGCGAGTTTTCTTTCGTGATATGTCATGTTGGATCTTGAAGTCAAGAGCTTGGGATGTGTTTTTCGCTCGTTGTTAATGATTTGATCATAATGCGGAGTAAGACCAGGAAGGCATCCTGTTCTTACCCACACATCTTTTTCCATTCGTAGATGAAGAGCCATATAAGGTCCTTTGCTTCTCATTCGTTGTGTAATCTTCTTTCCAAGTTCTGAGATGTGCGGAGCGAATCTCAAAGCAAGGAAGGCTACCTGAAAATTATAAATATGTTCAANAGTAAGAAAGAAAAAGAAAATCATATGTATTTGTCTTTCATGCATTTACAGTGATAGAATTTTCAAGAGATTAATACACGGAAAATTGAAGTATAAAGAAAGAATAGGCGACCAAGATACCTTGCATCGGAGCTTTTGAAGGTCGGAAGGAAGATCCTTAGAAAGTCTCGAGTCTAAACCACGTAACAAAAGTACGCCATCTCTCTTGATCTGCAAGAGACAAAAGATTTTGATTAGTTTCTATTTTGACCTTTATAGTTACTAGAAAACATCTATAAAAAAAGGCAATCTATTTGAAAGAGCTTCCCACCATCTTTTATCTCTCAGGTTTATTCAGTTTAAATATTATTAAGATGAATTTAACACAATAGAGTCATTAAAAAATATTGTCTCTGGACATATATCTACAAGGGGCATCTGCCAAATAATCAGACATCAAACATGAAGAATTTATACCATATAAGAAATATCAGCGAGCCAGCCGAAGTTTTTTTTCTTAAATTTTTTATTGATTTTGGTGAACATTGAAAGTTTGCAGTAAACTTGTCAGATAAAAACTCAAAATTTTGGAGTAATTCTCCACATACCTTTGCACCTCAAAAGCATCCAACTTTTTTGAAACAAATTTATATATCCTTTTGGTGGGCCATTAATTAGTTGTCAATTACTATAGGCAACAAAAAGAATTAGATCAGATGAGTATACTTGATAATGTAATGAAAGTGCTGCAATTTTTAGCTTCTCACCTTTTTAAGATAACGCGAACGAATCCACTCGGCAGAGACATGAAGAGGAGTCCTTTTTTCCTCCACCGGCCGAGTCATCAAATGAGTCGAAGGTAGTGAAGAAACTATTCTTACATCATTTGCCAAAACACTCTTGAAATGATCTAAATCGAATATATCAGAGAATTCACTGCAACAATCATAAGAGAAACATAAATATTCCAAAAGAGAACTGGAAAAAAGTAAATATTGGATACTTTCACTGAAATGGAAATTAAACTTTACCACTTACTGGGTGATTCCAAAAAAAAATAATAAAATAAAATAAATTGCCATCATAGTTCTGTATGTAAAAAATGCGCTCCATTGACTTGAGTTACATAATGGGAGTTTCTATTGGAAACACAACTAACTGGATAGAGTTCCCTTTGGTTGTAATCAAAATATGCAAAAAGAAACAACACAATACTCCTATGACTCCCATACAGCTTGTAGAATGCATCTTCTTTTTTTCTATAGGTGCCATGAATACAAATAAACATTAACATAAGACAAGCTGAAAAATTCAAGATACAGACGAAATGAAGCAGCTCAATTCATTAAGCATCTCCTTCCAGATTATTTTTCCATTTAATNAATTTTGTGGTGAAGAAAAGAAAAGAAGAAATGAAACCTTTCATCACCCCAGATAACATTGACTTGCAAAATGGGCACAACCAAAGCAGCACCAAGAATCCTTGCAATAACAACAGCATCAACAATCTGATTCCTCTGCTGATTAATCCCACCAGAAACAACCACCAACAAGTACTTACTCCTATCCTTCACAATCCCATCACTCTCTCTTTTATATCTCTCAGTAAAATCCAAACACGGCCTATACCCCATTCCATCAGGCTGCTCCCAAAACCCAGACTTGTAATCAACTTCACCCATTTTTCCACCATTCGTAATCTCCTGTGGCCTAGTCGAAAACTGAAGTTTTTCTTGAAAAACCCAACACGGGTTTCGCGAGAAAGGCATAATGGGATCAAAATCCAGCCAAACTCTGGACATCCAAAGAAAACTAAATAAAAATATCAAGAAAATGAAAAATATTGGGTTCTTGAGCAAGAGCCTAAATCTTAATAAGCCGGGGCTCTGTTTTTTCTTTGGCGAAAGCAACAAAGACTCGAGAGAAGATTGTGAGATTGAGCTTATAATCTGAGATGGGACGGCAATGTAACTCTGCTTGTGCTTCTTCTTGTTTGTTTTGGAGACGGCCATTTTTCAAAGATTCAAACACAGAGTAAATAAATGGCAGAGATGATAGTGTTGCAGGCTTGGTATATCAACTATCAAGTTTTGCTCTGAGCTTTTTTCTTTTTCTTTTTTCCCCGGATTTGGTTTTGGTCTGAGCTTGGCCGGGAAGATTTAAGAGAGAGAGGGAGAGAGAAATTAGACAAAAAAACCCAATTGGTGATTGTGTGTGCTTCGTACGGGGGTATTAAAGGATGATGGGAAGGTGTGTGACTGTGTGTTTTGTGTCAGAATTTTTTGAATTTCTCCCTCTTTCTTTCAACTCAAGGTTGCAACTTGGAATTTTTTAGGGATATTTTATTATTTTATAATGTTGGTTTCAACTTAATTNGTGAGCTAACAATTTTTTTTTTTACAAAAAATTATCTTTAATATCTTTTACCACCCTTTCAAATAACATCCAAATGAAATGGAACAGTCTGTGGAATGATGAAGTGTAAATGTGACTGATTGTTCACTGGTTTGAACGTATAAGTAAATTTTTGTTTGTTTTATATATATGAATAATACTATATAATTATATGATCGATAATAATTATGTATAGTACATAATTATGTATATTTTGACTTATATTAAATAAACAAGTTACAAATTAACAGAGATAATAAGCGTAGGTGTAAGTAGGTGTTATTTTGTAAAAGCGATGGTCATTTGGTTTTGTGGAAAAAGAAAATGTAATAATAATTGCTTATAATTTACTTCATTGTTTTGAAAAAATGACAAATCAGAAATGATAAACGGAAGAAAAAATATGATAGCAAGTGGCTTGTGCATTACTTATAAAAGTTATGGCATGTTGAGGTAAGCAAAACTTGCCAGGAGTAAGCAGATAGATAATTTTTGTATAAACTCTTCTACACATCAAATTATGTAATATATATGTTGTTAGATACTTAGATATATATTCGATGTTGTCTTTTCAAATTTTTCACAATGATTATCTTATTGAGTCTGTTTGGTAAATAACTTATTTGATAAGTTTTTTGGGCCCAAAACTCTAATTTAGAAAAAACTCATTAGAGGAGCTTTTTGGGGATAGAGGATTCACAAAAAAACTTTTTACTTGGAACTTTTTAATTTGTATTATTTATTTTAAAATCTATATTGGTTTATGGTGCTAAAAAATAACAATATGTCATCCATATGATTAATTTATCTAGAAAAATGTAAAATTCATAACTTTTTCAACAAGTTTTAGGAAATTTAAAGAAAAAAATAATATATTTATAAATTACCAACTAAAGAATATTAAATATTTTAATATAATATTATTAAAAGAATACACCCTAAATAATAAAATATCTTTATTGGTCATTTTGTAATGTCAAAAAGCTATAATCTTTCATCAAGTTTTAGGAAATTTAAAGAAAAAAATAATATATTTATAAATTACCAACTAAAGAATATTAAATGTTTTAATATAATATTATTAAAAGAATACACCCTAAATAATAAAATATCTTTATTGGTCATTTTGTAATGTCAAACAGCTATAAGCTTTCAACTATTTACCAAACACTTATTTAAAAACCGCTAATGCAATCCGCTAGTCAAATCAGCTAATATAATTCGTTATCCGCTATCCGCTGATACAATCTGCTATCCGCTATCCGCTGATCACCAAACAAGGCCATTATCTATGCATGCATATATGAGCCAAAGCCAAACCTTTACATATATATTTCTTTAGGGATTATGGTACAACATCTCAATAATGCCAACAAAGTACTGTTTGTGTTTTATTTATATATATCACTCAACTCTCTTTGATTAGTTAAGTTAGGTGGTCATTTTTAACCATTTCTTAATTAGTAAATACAACTGATTCAACAGCTGGAGAACTGTTGGCATGAAAGTTAGTTGTAGCCGTATCGCGAGTCGCAACCACTGAACAAAAACAAAAAAATTATAATCAATATTTTTAGCAAAGCTTGAGCTTAAAGTTGTGTAACTCAGAGGGCATCATAATTCATAAATCATTAATCTTCAATGACCATATATAAATATGGTTATTATATAAACATTGGATGGTGTGGAAATGACCTACTATGTACCAATTATTGAATTCTTTTCCTTTTACTTTGAGTATGACTATTGAAAAGATTTATTTTTCTCCAAATTTCGAATCACGTGGGCAGGTTGGCACTTCTACTTTATTTATTTTTTCTTTTCAAAATCATATTAAAGAGCCTAAAGTTGAAATCGTAATTAAATATAATTGTTAAAATATAGTATTTCAATATTCATCTAAGTTAGATAAATCCTTAATGGCTTATTCATTTTCTAAGTCAGTCCCTTAATATATTGATACTCATCCAAAATGTATTTATTGTATGACACGTGTCAATAAATTATGAATATCTCTCTATGTCGTGTCATCCGATAACTTCATAAAAAAATTGTATGAAAATAATAAATATTAATTGATAATGAAAGATGATTATAAATATAGAAGTGGGTGTCGAAAAATATACAGTAATAATTGTTTTTTCTTACTTTTTAAGTGTATAAGTGGAGTGGTAGAAAAATAAATAAATCGTAAGTAACCAAACGCAAACAAAACGCACTTTATGCCCTGTTATGTATGTTTTGAGCAATTAAGGGCATGCTTGTTTATGAAATATTTCGTTCAAAATGAGTTATTTTAGTTAATTAGAGTTAATTTTGAAAAAAGTAGTATGGTTAATTGTTAGTGGGATTTTAAGAATGTATTAAAATAGTATTTAAAATAAAATGATTAAAATTGATTTGATGTAAAAGTAAAAGATAAATGATTGGAAATGATTAGAAATGATAGGTAGTTAAAATTATGTGAGTGGATGAATAGTGAATTAAAGTTGATGTGATGTGTAAGAATAATTGGTTTGTATTATTTAATTATATGAATAATATTAAAATATAATGGAGTTGGGTTAAAGTTGAGTTAGATTTTGAGTATGAATTGGATTGAAAATGAAATAATTTATAAACAAGCATGCCCTAAACAAAATATTCATTTAATGTTCACCGGCCCCCTATTACTATTTATCGTCCCTCTTTGGACAATTTTGTCCCTGGCATTTTTTTCTAAAAAGTAAAATAAAATAAAACAAAATAAAACTGTCCGGCCGGCGAAACCGGACGGCTTTTAGCCCGTCCGACCGCCGGAACCGGGCGGTTCAAAAGGCGTCCAACCGGCCGGTTCGGACTGCATAAAAGCCGTCCGGAAAGTTCGTCCGGTCGGACGGGCTATGTCCGAACTTGCCGGCCGGACGCCTTAAAAGCCGTCCGGCGGCGACGGCCGTTCGAAACCGGTCCCTCCGGTTCGGCCAGCCGGACATTCATTTTTTTTTTTATAAATTATTATGTTATATATTCGAAATAATTATGTTATAAATTAGACGTTAGATATTATCGTGTTAGGAGTTAAAAATGATTATGTTACATGTTAGACTTCATTATGCTATTAATTGGACTTTAGATATTATCAGAAATATAATTATTAAATTTATCCATATGTAATAACTATTGTAATAACTATTAAAATATATTATAATTCATTTTTATTTTAATAATTATTATTATTATAATTTATAATTTTTATTATAATTATTATAACAAATTATTATTATAATAAAAATTATAAAAAATTATAATTATTTTTATTATTATAATTAATTACAATTATTATAATTATTATTAATTATAATTATTATTTTTATTATAATTATAATTATTATTATTAAAATTTTTTAATAATTTATAATTGATTACAATTTATTCAACTTATTATTATTACAATTTATAATTGTTATTATAATTATTATAATTATTTCTAATTTATAATTATTATAATTATTATCATAATTATTTATAACTATTATTATAATGTATTATAATTATTTATTAAAACGTATTAACTCTTCTTTAAAATTATAACATGTGATTTATTCGTATATTATTGGCAAATATGATTATTTTTTTTATTTATTTCATAATAAATTTATTATTAAATATATTTTCATTGCACAGTATGTTAAATAAAGTATAAAACCTTAGGATGAAAAGTATAAAAATCTCTTGATTATAGAACTATAGAAGGGATTTATTTTTCGCAATGGCAAAATCATAGTAATTTTTAATCTAAAATGAGTAAGGGGTGTTTGTTTATAAATTTTTTAAATCCATACTCACAATTTAACTAAATTTTAACACAACCTCACTATCTTCAATATTAGAAATATAATTAAATAATATCAATCAACCTTCCTTACAGATCAAATCAACTTTAATACATTGTTCATTCACTCACATAATTTTAACTATCACTTCAAATAATATTTTTCTTACTATTACATCAAATCAATTTTAATTATTTTATTTTAATTAATAATTTAATAAAAACTCAAAACCTCACTAACAACTAGTCATATCACTTTTTCAAAATTAACATTGGTTAACTAAAAAATCGTTCATTTATAACTATATTACTCTCTTTTGTTCATAATAAATGTCGTTTTGAAAAGTTGCACAATAATTAATAATCTTTATTTTCCCAATAATAATCCTCATTAGTGAAAATAGAGATTGATGTTTTGAGAAAATATAAAAAATGAATATGAAAAAACGTAGTATATTTATTAACTAGATGGAAGTAATAATGAGAAAACATGTAAAAAAAATCTAAAACGTCATTTATTTAGTTAATGGTCGATAAAATCAAAATGACTTTTAAAAAAAAAGGAGGTAGTATGTTTTAACTAATTTTCTATGGTTCGTAGAATAAATGTTCTGTAATGTTTGTGACACACAAGTTTAAAAGAAAAGCAATTGACTTTTCATAAATCTCGAAAATTCAGTATGTGAACCCAAACGATCAGTGAAGTGTGCTCACGTGAGACATGGCCATTTTCTTCCCGTGAAGGAAAAATGGTTGGGATGAATTATAACCTCCTTTTTTCCTTTTAATATAACATTACACATTTTGTAAAGAATTGAGCGCATGCAGAAAAAAATCTTAAGCGGGATGTTTAATTTTTCTCATTTACTATTCATTGCCCCCTCTTTACTACTCACCGCCCCCTCCTTTTTACTCTTTATTTATAATAATGATTATAAATAATTATGATAATAATTATAATAATTATAAATTAGAAATAATTATAATAATTATAATAACAATTACAAATTATAATAATAATAAGTTGAATAAATTGTAATTAATTATAAATTATAAAAATATTAATAATAATAATTATAATTATAATA